GGTAAGACAACCACATGCATGCAAATACAATTAGTACATGTAAGAATGTGTACAGATTCCAGCACACATTCATACACACTGATCACAAGATAAACTATATGTATGTGAGGCAGTGAGACAAAGGATGGGGCACTTGCCCACCATGAATTTTTCTAAACTAGTGTAATTTTTTAAGAATTTTTAAAAATGCCCCTCTTGATATATCTATGGTGGTTTTTTTTATAGTTTTTTACCTTTGCCCCGGATGAAAATAAGTTGTACATCCGCCACATAATGTGTGTATATACATAATATACATCATGGCATGTTGAAGTACTTCTTCTTCCTTTCAATTATCCCTCTATGCTAAACAGACAGTTTTCTCGTGACTATTCCAATTCTTTTCTCATCATATGGTACTGTAATCTATATTATAGATGTGTGTACTATGTGTTTCTAGGATCGTACCTCATTTTAAAGAAATTTGAAGAAAAGATTTAAAATGTTCAATTTTGTGATAGATTTCACATCACATGGTGTCAAATTCGGAGGAATCACCAACTTTTTTTCTAGAATTAATCGAGTTGTCAATCTTATGGGAATCTTATCCAGAGTTTGTTCTTGTTCATCAATCATACAACAAGAAGAAGTTAGAAAGTAATTTGTTAGCAAATAACTAGACCAAACAAAAAAATTGTTAGCAAACAATGCGCCCGTTTGAAAGACAATTTCTTTTGTAAGCATTTTTTTTATTAGTTTAATGATACAATACACGCATTTATTAAACTAGCAGCGAGCTAGGTGGGTTTGTGAACAAAAAAGGGTATAATGTTTGTTTATAGTTTATAAATGCATAATGAGTTTGGTTGATAGTTTTTTTTTTTTCCGGAACCATGAGTTGGTTAATGGTTTTTCGATTATTTCTCTCCCGACAAAAACCGACGAAAATCAGTTGGTCTGAATCTTTTTTTTATTAAGAAAATATGACAGAAATTAGTAATATAATATGCTTTGGGTGTGTATGTGTGTATTTAGAAAAAAAAAATTCTTATATTTAGCATATAAAAATTAAAAAATGGATTATGTCTACAAAAATCATTCCGCGACGCAGCTGGTGCAGAATAATTTTACGAAGTCCATTTTTCCGAAATAATTTTTTTTTTTTTGAAATGTCCGAAATTAAATATTGCATGTAAAGAAAGTTGACGAAATTCTTAGGAATACGAGAACCAAAGAAAACCAACATTAGGGAGAAAAAAAACATTAAATTACTACGTTGAAGATTTTTCTTATATATCTTCTGTATACATATTTGTTATTTATTATTTTTCGTTCGAAATGTCATATTTATTTATTTATTCATTGTATGCCACATGCCAACTAGCTAATAGACTTATAGACATCTTCAAAATAGTATAAAAATATAGAAAACATAGAAATGCATGAGAGATGGAGAATAAATCTTTGACCCAATGCCCAACAACTTTCTTTTCTAGGATTTTGTTTTTAAAGTAACAACAAATATTAATTAAATATAAATTACAAGACTCTATTATATGCTTCAAAACAGCCATATATTGAATTTAAAACCCCGTCTGTCTCCCATCTTCCTAATCCTTTCCTATTAGTCAAACACTCAACATTAATTAAACTTTTCATTATAATTACATCATTTATCCTACAAACACTAGTTTGTAGATAACGATGTGTTATTAGATGCTACTCCACAAAAATTCAAGTCAGTAAAAAGATTAAGCTTGTTTTGATTTCCATCTCGTTAGAGCATCTCCAACCCAACACAAAATCTAATTTTTGGTGTAAAAGTCTCTCCAAACCAAACCTAATTTTTTTGTGTAAATTAAAAGCCTATTTCTACACACTTAATGCTTCAACGTAATTAACATATTAAATTATATTCCATTCGTTTATTGTTTTAGACTAAAATTTTTATTTCAGTACAAAATAGTAGTATTGTTTAGCTAAATAAATTATTATAAAGAAATGTCAAAACGACACAAATAATAAATAGGTAAATTAATTATAAGAATTTTTTTAATTAATTGGTTTAGCAAAAAAAAAAGAAGTTTAATTAACAAACAATATTTGTGTACCTGAGGGTCGTGAAGTCCTTGTTGTCAGAAATGTCTGTCATGGGGACATGAAAAGCTTCTGACCAAGAAAGCTGCCGGAGAGAAGTGGCTGACGGGGCTCCCCACCGGTAACTCCCGGCGGGAAATTTCTCCGACTTACTTTTCTTCTCAAAAGGTTCTCTAAAAACCCTAATTTGCTCTTGTCTCATCTTCTCCAACACATCCATTGACATTCCATGGTTTATCACTTGGAAAAATCCCCACTCCTTAGAAGCTCTCGCAATCTCATCTTTACATTTCTCTCTCTCCTTCTCGTCTTCATTGATCAGACGGCTGACATCAATCACCGGCAGCTCAACCTCTTCGATAACCGCCGTGACGGAGAAGCTAGAGGGTATTTCGGGAATATTGTTATCCGGGAACGTTATTGTGTTTGTGATCTGTTTATACAAAAGTGTTTTGTATATTTCATTAAAAGGTGGATCCATGAGAATCAACAAGAGAAATCTATGAAGAAAAGTACTGAGAGTTAGAGAGAATTATGGGAAGTGAAGGGTATCAAAATACGTGTTGTGTTGAGAGACACAATTCTTACATTTATATACACGTCCACCTATATGCATATATGTATATACGAGTGCAATTAGTTCAAATTTTGATTTTTAGTTACCATGTTGAT